CCCAAAAATGTGTATTTCTGCCCCAAAATGTGTATTTCTGCCCCAAAATGTGGAGTTTATGCCCCAAAATGTGTATTTCTGCCCCAAAATGTGGAGTTTATTGCCCAAAATGTGGAGTTTCTTCCCCATTATGTGTATTTCTGACCCAAAATGTGGAGTTTCTGCCCCAAAATGTGGAGTTTATTGCCCAAAATGTGGAGTTTATGCCCCAAAATGTGGAATTTCTGCCCCATTATGTCTATTTCTGCCCCAAAATGTGGAATTTCTGCGCAAAAATGTGGATTGTATTGCCCCAAATGTGTATTTTCTTAAAGTGTTGGATGTAGATAGGAGTGCTCTGACTCCTGACTAAGGTCAGACTCATTATCATCATTTCTCTCAGAGGTGAGGGGTGAATCAGGGCTTTTATGTCTCATTAGGGATGAAAAACAAGATAAAAGTCTACAAGAAAAATGGTCTGACAGGAGAGGAGGTTTTATTTTTATTATTTTATTCTTGAACGTTAAAGAATAACTCCTCTTTTTTTAGTTTATAGTACAACATGAGTAAATCAATTAAGTGTAAGTCATTTGTTTGATTAATTTATTGCTTTTTTACATGTTGGAGAGTAAAAAATTATTTCTGTCAAATTAAAATAAAGAATCAAGTGGAAGGAGTTTTTTTTACATTTTTGTCTAAATGAATTAAAACCCATTAAAATCTCTTTTTAGGATTTTTTTCTGTCTAATTAAGAAAAAAAAAGTGTTTGATTTGATTCATTTGTTTGATTCATTTATTGATTTTTTACATGTTGGAGAGTTAATTATTATTTATTTTAAATTAAGATAAAGAATCAAGTGAAAGGATATTTTTTACATTTACATTTAGAGAATGTTCAGTCTAAATTAATTAAAACCCATTAAAATCCTTTTTTAGGATTTTTTTCTGTCAAATTGAGAAAAAAAAAGTGCTGGTTTTTTATTTTTTGTCTTCGCAAAGTCCTTAAATTGAGAATTTTCTTTCTATTAAAACTATTTTAAATTATTCTTAGGATTTTTTTTCTCCAAATAATGAAGAAAAAGTTTTAAAAATCTGTCTGGTTTTTAGTTTTCCAAAAAAATTTGTCTGATTCATTCACTGATTTTTTTACATAGTTTTCAATCTTTACGAAGCCCTTAGAATGAGTCATCTGAGCACTTTTCTGACCGTTACTTCCCTTAAATGCTCACAAATAAAGTCTATTCCTTTCCTTTCCTTAGCTAAAGAGTTTATTCCCTGTTGGTTTGTCACTGAGCCTTTTTCCTCCTCATTTCTGCGACCTGTGTTCAGATTTCTAAGCATTTTCTGCGTAATATGGGCGGTTTTAACAGTGGAAGCTGCTTGTTGCTGGACTGATTGACCTATTATGGCTCAGAGCTATCAGCATTGCTAGCGAGTTAGCAATCATGGGAAAAGGCCCCGATTCAGATCTGAACTACAGTGATCCCTCGCCACTTCGCGGTTCACTTATCGCGGATTCGCTATTTCGCGGATTTTCACAATGCATTTTTTTTTTTGATGCATTGTGCTCTGCATTCTGATTCGCTAAAAGCTCACTCCCGCTTCCTGTATCAAAACACGCTACGAATTGTGCTATCATTTTGTCGTCTCGTGCAGTTATGTGTACGTACATAAAACAGCTTAGCAAATTTACATTAAGTTGGCCAAATTATCTTGTAATTTCGAAACATCTCCTAAACCCATAATGTCGACGAAACGGCCTGGACCGACACTAAACGTGAGTCACTGTATTTGTATACATGTAATAGTTGCTAATTGTTAAAAAAAAAAAAAAGTTTTCTATTTCGCGGATTTCACTTATCGCGGGTCATTTTCGGAATGTAACCCCCGCGATAAACGAGGGATTGCTGTACACACTTTCCTCCCACTGATTACAGGATGGGATTCTGGTCAGACGTGGACAGGTTTGAAAGTGGAAGGTCCCAGAAAGCTCTGTCTAACCCTGGGTTGGTCCTTCTTGTGTCCTGTTCTTGTGCCTGCCCATATTTGGTCTTCCTTTAGGTCTGAATGTGTCGTTGCTATGG